ATGATGGGCAGGGAAAGGGATGATGGGCAGGGAAAGGCATGATGGGCAGGGAAAGGGATGATGGGCATGAAGGCATGAGAAGCGGGGGAGAGAAGTGAAGGTGAAGGATTAGGAATTGAGGGGGGTGAGAGTAAGGCAGGGCAATGCTTCCAGGTCGCAAACGCGTAGTGCATGTAGGTTTCTATCGCCCTCTGTTCACCCTCTCTTTTGTCTTCCCTCCCCTTTACCCCTCCGCCTTCCCCTTTCCTCTCATCACCCCTGCTTCCCATGCACAGCAGTCATTGACATTCCTCCAGCAAACGCGATCGGCTTTTTCTGCTTGACCGAGGGTGCTTCGGGATTTCGGTTGACTAACCGTATCCCGCGCTGACCTGGAACACGGCCGATTTCGCGCGAAAGTCACGCTGCTTAGCGTGATCATTTCGACGCAGGTACAAAACGGTAGATACCGTTTTATCAACGGTAAAATCCGTTTTATAACTGGAAAACGGTTTCTCACACGAGTATCCATGATTCCTCATGAGAACTCGCGGAAATTCATGACGTGAATCAGCAGGGGACTTTGGATTCAATTCAAGTGGATTGGGGGTATTGGGCCTTGCAGTATCGTATATGCATGGGCACCAGCACATGAGCATCAGCACATGAGCATCAGCACATGAGCATCAGCACATGAGCATCAGCACATGAGCATCAGCACATGAGCATCAGTGCATGAGCATCAGTGCATGAGCATCAGCACATGAGCATCAGTGCATGAGCATCAGTGTATGAGCATCAGTGCATGAGCATCAGTGCATGACCATCAGTGCATGACCATCTAAGCATAAAATCCCGTTCACATGACCAACATGATTTCTTTGTTTGATCCCAATGGCTGTCTACATTCTACATTCAGGTGTGGAGAATATACGGTATGGGGCAACTACCAAAGAGATATTGTTATGCTGATGTCAGTCTCTTCGTTCTCTGAGTTTCTTTGCATGCGTATCGGGCACTCCTCGCAGCATAATTTGGTGTTCTGATATGCTGAATGTAATACAGTGTATCTACAGGCTGCAAAGGTGTTTGCATTCAGAAACGTCATGAATTTCACAAATCCATACCTTGTTTCTTGAATCATTGTATTCTGCTACCAACTTATCTTATACAGTATAAAGCTACTCCCCATAAGCACCTAATGTATCATCTACAATAACCCACAAAATGACTACCCAACAGGAAACATGACTACCGCACATCAACCAATGAACCACGATCACCACAGTACGATGAAACATGCCGCGCTAGTATCTCACAAAGGTCAGCCCATGCATGTCCCGGAGGCCACAGCGCAGTGCACGAGACATGCCGTCAATTGCTTGCTTGCACCCTTTGACATTCAAGTGCTGCAGAACCTTCAGCTCCGTCAAATCATCTGGCAAGGCCTTCAATTGTTCACAGCCAAGCAGGCTGAATATCCTCAGCCGGGTCAGCTGACCAAATCCGGGAGGAAGGGAGCTGATGAAAGTCCTTTCAAGTTTAAGCATGCAGAGGCAGCGAAGCTGCGTGAACGGTGATGGTAGCTGCTGCAGGTCCTTACACCCTGATAGATCCAAGTCACGCAACCTGGTTAATGCACAGATGCCATCGGGGATTGAGGTCAGCTTGGGTGCAACAACCTCTAACGATGTCAGGTGGCGCAGCTGTGACAATGTCTCTGGCAGCTCCCTAAGCTCTTTGAAGCCGAAAATCTGCAAATCCCGTAGCTGCTGCAAAGCCGAACCGATGCTTCGTGGGAGGGCCTGAATCATGTTAGCGTCAAGGATACTCAAGATGCGGAGCTGAGAAAGTGACTCCAAGAGGATGGGAAACTCATGGACGTTGTCTGCCAACCCCAGTCCCAAGTGCCTCAGGCATGGCGGCAGGGAGATCTGAGGCAATGAATCAGCCTGACCGTTGCCGAACCAAGACATAACCTCAAGCGAAAGTGGCAGCGACATGGGAAACTCACAGAGTTGACTGCACTTAGTTATCCTGAAACACTTCAGCTCCATAAGGCTGCTTAGGCTTCTTGGCAGCAAAGAGAGCAGCTGACAGCCCTCAATGATCAAGGTTACAAGGCTAGTCAGGCCTGTAATGGAATCCGGCATCTCCCTGAGAGCATCACAGTCATGAATGTTCAGATGTTGCAGGTTAATCAGATTCTCCAGACCCTCGGGAAGCGCGGTAACTGCACACTTGCCAAGCTCAAGACTCGTTAAAGAAATCAGCTGAGCAAAGGAAGGAAACAGTTGCTGCTTTGTGCAATGATGCAGGTGTAGAGTCTCGAGGTTGCTGAGCCATCCGATCCTCTCTGGAAGCACCTTCAGCCAAATACATTCTAAACTCAGTGTCTTGAGAGATGTGAGGCTGCAAAAATCTGCTGGCAACTGGTCGATCCAATGGCAGCCATGCAGGACCAGCTTTTCCAAAGTTGTAGCTTGGCAGAGGGAGTCAGGTAGCTTGCGGAGAGGCAAGTTCTGCAGCGTCAGTGTCTTGAGATCAGGCAGCTGTCCAAAGTCCTCCGGCAGGCTGCGAAGCCGGTAGCTCCCAGTAATGGTCACGCACTGTAATCCAGACAGGGCTGTGATATTATCCGGGAGTTGGTCGAGCCGGAAACAATCGCGAATGGTCAGCTGATGCAGGCACGGCAACAGCTCTCCAATGTCATCGGTAAGGCGGTGGAGGTTGGCGGATTTGGAGATCACCAGCTGTTCCAGGCGAATGCACGGTGATCCTGTAGAGAACATTGAAGCGAAGCTGAGACTAGGAATCTGGGACTCAAATGACTTGAGACAAGGTAGCTGAGCTACTGGGAATATTGCAGCTGGTGGATCACTCTTGGGAAGGCAGGTTTCACTGGAAACCGAGAGTCTGGAGAGTCTTGGAATGCGAGCGAGGCTTGACAACTGCTGATGTGTCAATTTGGAAACAATTATATGGAGGGATGCGAGAGAAGGAAGTTGTCCAAATCTGGGGAATGTCAAGGCTGTGACGTTGCTTAAAGAAACAGTGTGGAGATGCTGCAGCTGAAAGAACGAATCTGGTAAGTCAGTATCTTTATGGAGGCAATGAAGTGTTATTTCCTCCAGATGAGTGCAGTTGAGAAAGAGAATATTCAAGCCGGCTTCAGTAACTGGGTGCTCATCCTTGCTTCCTCCACACTCCATGGGTGTGATCCTGCGACCCACGTGAAGAGCTTTCATTTTAGGTCGCGAGGAAGCCAGGCGAGCGAGGAAATCGTTGTCAATCGTATCGACACTGCCGTCGCTCAGGTGAAGATTCGTGAGGTTGTCAAAACAAGCGACAGCGTTGGTCAACTCTTGACGAGATACAAAAAGGTTCTCTTGGACCAACATGCTGGTGACCTGACGTTTAACTAGATGACGCCAGCGATTGCATACGGACGCGATGAGCAGATTGTAAGGTGCATCTGCTGGAGATATAAGCGTGTTAGCCTCAAAATGCCAATGAGGAAGCGAGACGCATGAAGAAATAGAACCCTTTTCGGAAGGCGTCGCATCCTGAAACCATAAAATCTTCGTAAGAAGGTCATCTGGAAGTCGATCTATGTGTGAGAGACGCTCCATCTGAACTTATATAGATTGATAGAAGGGACTGAAGCTATGAAACGATATCTCCTTCAGAGCTAAAATGACGAGATCTCCTTCTCCTGAGCTAAAAGTCGCTCATATACGAAACAAAAAAAAGCACCACCCGCATGCTGACCTGTGATTTGGAAGTAGGCAAGTAGGTACCTGTGATGCAGTAGGAGCTAATCTCACTCGAGAATCCAGATCCTTTAGGCCTTGTCGAAGCTGGGTATTAGGCTGAGGTGTTTTTCCTTGCTTTCAAATTCCCCCATGACTAAACCTGACGAAGCAGCAGACGAGGGCTCGCTTGGCTTCCAGGGATCTGCTTCAGGCAGCCCAAGCAGGGCGAATCTGACTAGACTTCGCCCTGGAGATACATTCAGTTGACAAGGCTTGGGAAGAGAAATTCGGAATCAAGGCGTGTCCATATTGACGATATGCAATTTGCGACGCACTGGGGCGGAAACAAAGCAGTAGCCCAAACTAGACTTTGGCTACGCGTCGGTTTGCGTAATCCCGCCCTTGCTGGTGTTTCAGACTCATTCTAGCCTCGAGCAAGAAAAGCAGTTGCTCAAGGAACGCAGTCGCGAAATCAGCTGTTTGGAAAGGGTCGTGGGATCAATGATTGGAGGTTTATTCATCCTCGCTACTGAGCAGCCTTTCTTATCTACAGACTATGTTAAACCGAAAATACGCATTTATAGAACAGAGGCTAGAATAATCATTGGCGTGTCACAACGATACGTATTTACCCAAATTAGCACTTTTATAAAAATAGGAAAGTCGAACTACCCCTCCCCCCCCCAGTATGTTTAGTTCCTTTTGGAGGCTTTTCTCGTTCATTTTCACCATACTTGAAAACATACGTGATGGCTCTATATCGATTCATGTAGCGAGCTGCCCAAATTCGTGATTCCTCGTCGTGTGTCACCACGATGTGGGCTTGTGTGGGGGTGAGTCAGAATCTTCCCGAGAAGCGCGACGGGGGGGAAGCACCAGCATGTCCACGTGTGCAATTTAGAGATCTGCGGTTCGCCGGCCGCACTCGCGAACAATATTCCCCCGTCTAACGAACACTACCAGGTATTTTCCCATAGTTTTTAGCCGTCCGATTTCACCATCGTGCCGCTATTATTAATCGTGTCAGATGGTTTCACAGCCCGTACCGCAACAAGAGAAAAACGAGCCGCCTGCTAAAATTCAAGCTTGGAAGGAAGTGGATGAGAAGGTATAACGGAGTGAGTTCAAAGAGTGGACCTTGGGGAATCAGAATTGGAAGAGGTACGAGACAGTTGGAAGAGAACAGAGAGCGAGTTTTCTGATCTCCCTCTCTTCCCTTGCCTCCATCCATCCCCATCCCCCCACCCCACCCCACCCCTTTGCAGTATGAAGGGCTTTCAGGAACGTCTCGCATTCTTCTCCTTCGCCATCTGTGTGCTCTTCTTCGTCTCCTGTGACGCGGTTCCCATCTTCATCCAGGTCTGTGTGCCCTCGATAGATTACTTCATGTTCCTTCCTATTAACATCCTACGCCATGCCATCCCATACCGTGCCATCCCATACCATGCCATCCCATACCATGCCATCCCATACCATGCCATCCCATACCACGCCATCCCATGCAATGCCATCTCATACCATGCCATCCCATACCATGCCATCCCATACCATGCCATCCCATGCAATGCCATCTCATGCCATTCCAACCATGCCATCCCATACCATGCCATCTCATGCCATTCCAGCCCACGCCATTCCATCCCACGCCATGCCATCCCATGCCATGCCATCTCATAACATGCCATCTTATGCCATTCCATCCCATGCCACCTCACCCTCCACCCCTCTCAGGAGCGAAACATCTTCCTTCGAGAAACAAGCAGCAGCGCCTACCGCCCGTCCACCTACCTCCTCTCCTCCACGCTCGTCTATCTCCCCCTACACCTGCTCATGGCGCTCACTCTCGTGCTCGAGGCCTGGTGGTGCCTGGGGCTGCAGGGGGGAGCTGAAGGCTTCTGCTTCATGGTGCTTGCGTGTTTTGCCATGCTGTTTACTGGGAATGCCATCGCCACATGCGTCAGCATCTGCATCAACCAGTAAGTGTGGGGTCCACTTTCCTTTCGCCCTTCTCAGCATCTTTCCTATGCAGTGGCTATAGCTCTCATGGCATACTTTGCTCTGCTCAGCGGGTTCTACATCGACAGGGAGAGCATCCTGTGCACACACACCCTCAATCATTCCCTCCTCTCCCTGTGCCTCCCTCCCTCGCTCCTCTCTCGCTGCAGTGTTGTCCTGGCCTATGCAGTGGCCATCGCTCTCATGGCATACTTTGCTCTCCTCAGCGGGTTCTACATCGACAGGGAGAGCATCCCAGACGGCTGGGTCTGGCTGCACTACCTCTCGCCCATGAAGTATGCGTATGAGGCCCTGGCCATCAACGAGTTTGGCAGGTGAGAAATCGGCATTATATTTCACTTCACTTCACCACTTCACTTCACCATCACTTCACTTCACCATCTCTCACTTTTCACTATCTTTCCCGGAAAACCTTAACCAGGCCACTGCCTATAAGTCGCCGCCCACCATCTCCCACTCCTCACCGTCTTTCCCCACCGTCTCCCACTCCTTAACACCAATCCCCAATTTCCATTTCTCCCCTGAATCACCCCACCAGGCCCGGAGGTCCCTGCTACTTGGAAGCTGGCACAATGTTTGATAATACACCTGTGGCGCCGTATCTAAACGCAACCAGAATCAACAAGGCCATGATGGGGATGCGGCAGGTGCTGGCTGGTACTCCTTATAGCAAAATCACTACAAGCACGTGTTTGCGGGACGGGCCGCAGCTGCTAACGACTACACTGGCGGTGAATCAACTCGACATGTGGGAGAACGTGGCAGTGCTGTTGGGTTTTGGGGTGTTCGTGCGGTTTGTCACATTTCTGCTCCTGGTGCGGTTCAGTAAAGCTAAGCAGCAGTGAGAGGCTGATGTGTTAATGCTCTATTTGACAAGCATTGTAACATTAACATAATTATTGCGCGAAGTGGAATATGCAGCCAAAGGACATTGAGCGGTTGTAATTCCAGAGTATGTACCAGTAATTTTAAGTCCTACGATTCATTTTAGTTCATTCGGTTCTTCTACCGTAAGGAGAAGGGTGATAATTGTGAGACCAAATTAAAAATATAGCCACTCAACAGAAAAAAACACACAAGTGGTTGTCTTGGGTCGACTCTAGAGGACAACAACGAAGCGTCCATCACCGAGTCTCTCAAAAAGTCGACCAAAGACCCCACGCGAACAAAACCCCACATCCCCCCCACCTCCACTATTCCGCCTTCCCCCCTCCCCTCTAAACTCCATCCCAATTGTCCCCGCAAATGCCGCTTTCCCCCAAAAGGCTAGCCTTCACTCCTCTCCGTGATCCACGCTTGAATCAAAGCCGCCTTCACATTTCAGTTGAGTTCATAACATCACTCTAATAGCCACCACCACGCCCACCAGCGCCACCAGGGCCATCGCCGTCACCGTGAGGCCCGTTACCACCACGCCCGTGACCGCCACACTTGCCGAAGTTCCCAGTGAGCGCGGCGCTCCAGGAGTTGCCGGTCGTGCTGTCGGTGAAGATGACAGCGTAGGGCGAATCAGTCGTGGTGTCGGTGGTCCCGAGGAACGTCGCGAACAGCGCCTTGGTCTTCGCGCCCATCCACGCGACGCGCTGGCGCTGACGCTTCAGGAACTGCTGCGTCAGCTTCCCCGCGCTGTTCACCGCGAGCTCGCGCCCGCGGCGGCGTCCGCCGAAGGCGTTCTGGAAGCCCTGCTTCGCGCCGTTGATCACCTTGGTGAACGCGTTCTGCGTCACCGTCGCGTTCGGTACGCCCGCGAGAATCGCCTCCACGACAGTCGCGTCCGCGCCTTCCACGGTGCCCGTCACACGCAGCTCCGTGTGCGATCCGCCGCGCCCACCGCGCGTCTCGGTGGCCCAGCCGGTGGACGGCAGAGTGAGGGCGGCGGTGGCGGTCGAGTCGCACGCCACGCCTTGCACGATGGAGATCGTGTCGGGCGCGGTGCCGCTGTACTCGTCGAGATCGGCGTCGAAATAGAGGTTGTAGACGGGCGTGCCCGACGACTCGTCCTTAAAGACGGCGAGCAGGAACTTGCCGCGAGTCGCGCCGATGTCCGCCGTGCAGTTGGAGACCCACGCGCCCACGCGACCTGCGGATGGTACGAAGGGGCGCGGGAGGGGGGAAAAAGGGGACGTGGGGAAAGGGGGAGGGGGAAAAGGGGCGAGGGGTAGGGGGGAAGGGTAAGGGAGAATCAGCACATGGCAGAACGTCGAGATAGAGGTTGTGGACGGGCGAGCCCAACGAGATTTTCCGCGAGTCGCGACGATGTCCGCCGCGCAGTTGGAGACCCACGCGCCCACGCGACTTGCGGAGGATACGAAGGGGCGGATGAGGGGGTAAGAAGGGGAGGGGAGAGGGGAGTGGGGGTTCGGGGGAGGGGGGAGGAAAGAGGCAAGCGCACGTTTGGCATTTGGTAGTAACCGGAAATTTTAGATAAGGGTAATCGGGATCGCATTTTGACGGGATCAACGAATCTGGCGGACGGATGCGAGCTAGATGGTGCATGCGTCGCACCTGTGAGATTTCCGGTGACGGACGCGTCGATCGGCGGACCGTGCGCGCCCCTTCCGCCACCTCCGCGGCCGCCGCCGAAACCACCGCCGCCACCCCTGTGACCGAGAACTGCGCAGGCAGCGCAAGAAAAAAAAAATACGACATTGGATCTTGTAAGTTCAAAGCCGTAATGACACATTGACACCCGAAGTAACACGTGTGACATTCAAGGAAAGGGAGCGCTGGCCAACTATTCAATTCGAACAAGGAAGGCGGGGGTAGTAGGCGTCTACGCTGGACCAATCTAGTAGACGAGTTTTTATGAGCTACGAGCATACCAGGCGCGACGAGGAGCAGGACGAGGAGAGGAATAAGGCGGGCGCCCGTCATCGTGGCTGACGATCGAAGCAAGTAACGCCAAGAATGTCGAATTCAGAAGAAAGCTAAAGTGCAGTATGTGTGAGTGGTAGCTGAAATTTGTTCTGCTGGTGAATGAGGGAATGCGGCAGCGGTATTTGTGCAAGAGACTCGAGTCGAGAGCAATTCCCAGTTGGCACACAAACAACCAAGGTCGCGCTGCGCAGACAAGCGGAAGTGTGAGGGGGAGACTGGTCAGACTATTGAACAGTGTGGGTCGCGGTCCGCGGAGACCAGCCAAGCCCAGGAAACATTTGGAATGGAAGCATTTTGTTTCCCAAAGAAGTCGTCGTTTTTCAGCACAACAAGAACATAATTCCTGCATTCCATCTCTGCCCGAAACTGGCGAGTCTGTACGTATCTTTCGTTCAAACCGGAATTTGCCGAATTACAAGCTATACGTAGAATGAACATGCCCCCAGCAATTTTCATGTTCGGGGTTCACAGTGTACGGATGTCGGGCAGGGGAAGATTGGCGAAAGTACAGTACATTTGAATGCGCCGACAGTTTTTGACTGGTCAGCAGAAGGAATCCCTCTCGTCATGTAGACAAGACAACCTGGCAACAACTGTCCGCTGACGAACAGGCGAACGTCAACGACTTTCGCGATGGCTATCGCGCAGTACGAATTCTGCATCACGACACTCGCACTGTCTCTACAGTGCGAGAGCATGTCTCGTTTGACGTGTCTGGTCATCAATTTTCCCGTGTCGTCGTGAGTTTGTTGAGAGAATCTCTCGCACTGTTGATGCTCCAGGTCTGTTGGTCGACTACGCAGTCAGTACCCGTCAAAGAAGAACTTGAAGGCAGAGGTTTATATGCAAGCAGTACAGTTTTCTCCAGATCATTGCACCGCCTTTGCTTTCTGATGTTAGGCATTTTGAAGTTAAGTTTTCATATGTATATAATTTGTTCAATTGGACATATGACTGCGCACGATAAAATTACCAACACATGGACCAAATACTGGGCCATTAAGGAAAGCTTATTCTCAGTTAACAGCACAGCAGCAAGTGGATGAGCTACCACCATTGCCTGTGACGTGATTAGGGTTAACAACCCCTTATTTTTTCCTGCGGAACAAATTATGTTTATGCTGTCCCAACCATTCCAACTGGGACTAGTACTGCCAGCACTAGCAGCCACCGGCAGCAATGGCAGCAACAGCAACAACAAGGGCTACCCGTCCGTATTCCTCCTCTCCTCCTCTCCCTTCCCTCCTTCGTCCCTCCTAACCATGCCCAAAAGCATCACCATCACCATTGTCCCCATCATCCCCCTCCTCCGTGACCAGGTAACGGTCACCAAACTCCCTGATCCCCGACCCCCGGTACCAGTCTCAACTCATCCTTATCGACCCCCCCCATTCCCCCCCCCACACATCAAGACGCCTCAAAAGCATCCCCATCGCCATCCCTCTCATCATCCCTCCCAGCGTCCCCCTCCTCTGTGCCAAAGTACCTGTCTTCGAACTCACCCATCCCCGACCCTGCCCAGCACCGCTCTCAACTCCTTGTCAGTCCCTGCCGCAACTTCCCACACCTCCCAACCCATCAAGACGCCTCAAAAGCATCCCCGTTGCCATCCCTCTCATCATCCTTCCCAGCATCCCCCTCCTCTGTGCCAAAGTATCTGTCCCCAAACTCGCCCATTCCCGGAACCACTCTGTACTCCTCGTTAATCCCCGAGTCGATCTCTGAGGTCACTATCTTGAGCTGGGGGAAGCGCCGACACACGTTGTGAATGCCCTCTGGGGCCTGGGGGAGGGAGGATGGGTTGGAGGAGTAAGATTAAGAGGGAGCATAGGGATGTTGTTGAAGTGACGAAGCGCCGACACAAGTTGTGAATGCCCCCTGGGTGGCTGAGGGAGGGAGGGTGGAGCAAGGAAGGGAAGGAAAGGAGTGGGAGCAGGGAAGGCAGGGAAAGGAATGTTGAGATGGGAGAAGTGATGACATACATTGTGACGACGAGAAAATAGGGGAGAGAGAAGATAGTGAAGGAGAAGGGGTAAAGAGCATCACAGCAAGTTACTCTCTTCACCACTAATTACTGCTCTGCATTCTGCCTAATAAACTGATCCAGAGAATAAAATGTACTCTTTCCACCACTTGTCACCACTCTGCACCCTTCCGGATAACTCACCGAGATGAGGTTAGGAAAATGATCCTCTCTTTAGGCACCCCTCGGTGCAGCAGCTCCTCGGGTACGGAGGTGGTTACTCTCTTCACCACTCTGCACCCCTCCCAATAGACTTACCGAGATGAGGTTAAGGAAGATGATTCGCTCCTCTGGCACCCCTCGGTGCAGCAACAATTCGATAGCCTTTATTGCAGAGCGGCCTGATGAAGACAGAGTAGGGGGGATGGGAAACAAGGCAGAGGATGTAGAGGGTAAGTATGATGGCTCAGCTCTCATCAGGCACCCCTTGGTGCAGCAGCAACTACGTGTAGAAAGTGTATTTTTGAGAGATCTCAAAAATACACTTTCTACTGATGGCTCAGGTCACATCAGGCACCCCTTGGTGCAGCAGCAGCTCGATAGATCTGATGGCAGAGCGGCCTGGATGGGAGAGAGAATAGAAGGGACAAGGAGGAAGGCAGACGACCAAGCAGAACAGCACGTTCATGAGACAGGAGGGCAGTCATGTGTCAAGCCTTATGTGCCGGCCAATGCCAACCTCCCCTCGGTGCAGCAACAGCTCGATAGCCTTGATGGCAGAGCGGCCTGGAGGGGAGAGAATAAGGGAAGGCAGGAGGCCAAGCAAAGCAGCACATTAATAAGATCGAAGGGCAGTGTATAGGTCAGCTTCTTGGCAATAAGCTATAAGTACGAGTAAGTACTAAGCAGGCAATAGTAAGCAGTAAGTGGTAAGTAGTAATACAGAGCAAACTGCATAGCCACCCACCTGGCACTCTGGGTATGCCAACTCGGGAGACCCAGATTCCTTTGCTGCTGGACTAACGAGTTCAAACTGCCTAGTACCCACTGAATGATGCCAGCACATCTAGCAGAGATGACTTTTGAGTCGACTCAAAAGTCACCTCGTCACATCACATGACTCAGCGGGATGCTCTCTGCCAAGGGGATAGAGAGAGGAAAGAGACAGGAGACGGGACCCCCCTTGTTGTGCAGCCCACGAAGGAGGCAGCAGGAATGAGCAGCGTACAGCCATGTAAAGCCTCACCTGAGGCGAGCACAGGGTTCAGCAGCATCACATGCCTCTGGGGTGAGGCATTGCGTAGAGGGGAGAGAGACGTCTTGGGAGAGGAAAGAGCCGACAGTCATGTTCAAGTGCAAGGCGAGGAGGGAGGGAGTTAAAGCCCCACCTGAGGCGAGAACAGGGTCTAGCAGCATCACATGCCTCTGTGCGATGTCCCTTGGGAGTTTTTCGTATATGAGCTGGAGGGGGGTGGGAGCGGCGGGGCGGGAAGGGAGAGCAGCGGGCAGGGAACATGGGGAGACAGAGAGAGGAGAGACGAATGAGATCAGGAATCTCTATGTGATGTCCCTTGGGAGATTTTCGTGTATGAGCTGATGAGAGATGATGAGACGGGTGGGGAGGGAGAAGATGGTGAAAGTAGGGAAGAAAAGGAGAGAAGGAGAGGGGGAGAAGGGGGAAGGAGGAGAAGAGGAGAGAAGGAGAAGGGGAGAAGGAGGAAGGAGGAGAAGAGGAGAGGAGTGAAGGAGATGAAAAGTGGTCGATGCATGATTGAGATGACACACATGATACTAATAACTCCTTGCAAGCACACACATGCAATCATGTAGAAAGCGCTGAGAGAGAAGAGGCCTCACCTGCTTGCCAAAGTCGCCGTCCCTATGGATGGGTGTTCGGCCCATCTTCACTCCCTTCAAAATTGCCACCGATTCGGAACGATTCACGCCAGTATCAACATGTTGTGCCGAAGGCACCACCAGTGTATGCATGCATGTGCATACGAACGAGAGCAGGAGAGAGAGTGAGAGAGGGAGGGAGAAATAGGGGTGGTTTGAGCCTCACCTGGTTGCTGTAGTCACTCTCCCTTGCAGCATGCCAAAACAAAACAGATAAGGACGCACACATGCATGCACACAACACATGCATGCAGAACAGGATCCGAATCTGTTTCTCACCTGCTTGCCATAGTCCCCCTCTCTGTGAATCAGAATCTTTCCAATCTTCACTCCCTTGCAGCACGCTCTAAGTGCATTCTCCATGCTCTCGCCACTGCCACGGAATGAAGGGCACGCAAGGAAACGCACAGGCACATGGGTTTAGATGAACGTGAATAGGTGCCTTGGCTTGGGGGATCTTCACTCCCTTGCAGCACGCTCTAAGTGCATTCTCCATGCTCTCGCCACTGCCACGGAATGAAGGGCACGCAAGGAAACGCACAGGCACATGGGTTTAGATGAACGTGAATAGGTGCCTTGGCTTGGGGGATCTTCACTCCCTTGCAGCACGCTCTCAGTGCATTCTCCATGCTCTCGCCACTGCCACCACGGGACCAAGGGACATACAAGAGAACATGCAGATGGGTTCAGATGAAGCAGAAAGGACGCATCAGAATGGCAGTCCCTTGCACCATGCCGTCGAGCGTTTTTCGTGCTCCCGCGCCGCCACTGATGCAAGAGATGCATTTCAAATACATACAATATAATTTACAAGCGTGCATGCGCAATTCGTGCCACACATTTTCACATGAATAATGTTTTTTTTTTTTTTTTTTTTTTTGCGAGTTTTGAGACGTCTCGACGTTTTGAACCATCCCACGCACACACCCTATGTAGCTAGAATGGCGGATTTTTTAGGCGCCTCATAAATATTACCTTCGAATGATGGACACTCCACAGAGCTTCTTGCTGAAGTTGATTCCCACATACGTGGAGCCTGCATTGGGGGGGGGGGAGAAGGGGGGGGGGAGTGAGGGGGGTGGGAGAGAAGGGAAGGGAAGGGTGTGCTCTGCTGCTACCAAGAATGCACAATCCACTCCACAGAGCTTCTTGCTGAAGTTGATCCCCACATATGTGGAGCCTGCCTGCATGAGAGGGCGCGGTACGAAGGGAAGGGAAAGAGGAGAGGGGATGGGGGGAAGGGAGGGTGGGGGAAGAGGAGGGCAGTGTTTACAACTACACTCCACACAGCTTCCTGCTGAAGTTGATTCCCACATATGTGGAGCCTGCAGATGAGGAGGCGAGAAGGGGGAGGAGAGGGGGAGGAGAGGGGGAGGGAGGGGGAGAGAGACGGGCAGAGTGAGCAGCTACAAATGATGCACACTCCACTCCACAGAGCTTCTTGCTCAAGTTGATTCCCACATATGTGGAGCCTGCCTGCATGAGAGGGCGCGGTACGAAGGGAAGGGAAAGAGGAGAGGGGATGGGGGGAAGGGAGGGTGGGGGAAGAGGAGGGCAGTGTTTACAACTACACTCCACACAGCTTCCTGCTGAAGTGGATACCCACACACGTGGAGCCTGGAGGTGAGGAGGCGAGAAGGGCAGGGCAGGGTGTGCAAGCAACCACTCCTCTCAACAGCTTCCTGCTGAAGTGGATACCCACACACGTGGAGCCTGGAGGTGAGGAGGCGAGAAGGGCAGGGCAGGGTGTGCAAGCAACCACTCCTCTCAACAGCTTCCTGCTGAAGTGGATACCCACACACGTGGAGCCTGGAGGTGAGGAGGCGAGAAGGGCAGGGCAGGGTGTGCAAGCAACCACTCCTCTCAACAGCTTCCTGCTGAAGTGGATACCCACACACGTGGAGCCTGGAGGTGAGGAGGCGAGAAGGGCAGGGCAGGGTGTGCAAGCAACCACTCCTCTCAACAGCTTCCTGCTGAAGTGGATACCCACACACGTGGAGCCTGGAGGTGAGGAGGCGAGAAGGGCAGGGCAGGGTGTGCAAGCAACCACTCCTCTCAACAGCTTCCTGCTGAAGTGGATACCCACACACGTGGAGCCTGGAGGTGAGGAGGCGAGAAGGGCAGGGCAGGGTGTGCAAGCAACCACTCCTCTCAACAGCTTCCTGCTAAAGTGGATACCCACACACGTGGAGCCTGGAGGCGAGGAGGCGAGAAGGGCAGGGCAGGGTGTGCAAGCAACCACTCCTCTCAACAGCTTCCTGCTGAAGTGGATACCCACACACGTGGAGCCTGGAGGTGAGGAGGCGAGAAGGGCAGGGCAGGGTGTGCAAGCAACCACTCCTCTCAACAGCTTCCTGCTGAAGTGGATACCCACACACGTGGAGCCTGGAGGTGAGGAGGCGAGAAGGGCAGGGCAGGGTGTGCAAGCAACCACTCCTCTCAACAGCTTCCTGCTGAAGTGGATACCCACACACGTGGAGCCTGGAGGTGAGGAGGCGAGAAGGGCAGGGCAGGGTGTGCAAGCAACCACTCCTCTCAACAGCTTCCTGCTGAAGTGGATACCCACACACGTGGAGCCTGGAGGTGAGGAGGCGAGAAGGGCAGGGCAGGGTGTGCAAGCAACCACTCCTCTCAACAGCTTCCTGCTGAAGTGGATACCCACACACGTGGAGCCTGGAGGTGAGGAGGCGAGAAGGGCAGGGCAGGGTGTGCAAGCAACCACTCCTCTCAACAGCTTCCTGCTGAAGTGGATACCCACACACGTGGAGCCTGGAGGTGAGGTGGGAGAGGGGCAGGGCAGGGTGTGCAAGCAACCACTCCTCTCAACAGCTTCCTGCTGAAGTGGATACCCACACACGTGGAGCCTGGAGGTGAGGAGGCGAGAAGGGCAGGGCAGGGTGCGCAAGCAACCACTCCTCTCAACAGCTTCCTGCTGAAGTGGATACCCACACACGTGGAGCCTGGAGGTGAGGAGGCGAGAAGGGCAGGGCAGGGTGTGCAAGCAACCACTCCTCTCAACAGCTTCCTGCTGAAGTGGATACCCACACACGTGGAGCCTGGAGGTGAGGTGGGAGAGGGGCAGGGCAGGGTGTGCAACCACTCCTCTCAACCGCTTCCTGCTGAAGTGGATACCCACACACGTGGAGCCTGGAGGTGAGGAGGCGAGAAGGGCAGGGCAGGGTGTGCAAGCAACCACTCCTCTCAACAGCTTCCTGCTGAAGTGGATACCCACACACGTGGAGCCTGGAGGTGAGGAGGCGAGAAGGGCAGGGCAGGGTGTGCAAGCAACCACTCCTCTCAACAGCTTCCTGCTGAAGTGGATACCCACACACGTGGAGCCTGGAGGTGAGGAGGCGAGAAGGGCAGGGCAGGGTGTGCAAGCAACCACTCCTCTCAACAGCTTCCTGCTGAAGTGGATACCCACACACGTGGAGCCTGGAGGTGAGGAGGCGAGAAGGGCAGGGCAGGGTGTGCAAGCAACCACTCCTCTCAACAGCTTCCTGCTAAAGTGGATACCCACACACGTGGAGCCTGGAGGCGAGGAGGCGAGAAGGGCAGGGCAGGGTGTGCAAGCAACCACTCCTCTCAACAGCTTCCTGCTGAAGTGGATACCCACACACGTGGAGCCTGGAGGTGAGGTGGGAGAGGGGCAGGGCAGGGTGTGCAACCACTCCTCTCAACCGCTTCTTGCTAAAGTTTAGGGTTTTTAATTCATACGGCGAGCCTGAGAGCGGGGTGTTGAGCGGGATGGGAGGGTTGGAGCTGGGAGGTATTAATGGGTGTAGGTAGACTGACGGATTTATATACTCTTCACAAAACCTCAATCCCTACGAATTAAAAACCTTAAACCACAACTCCACATCAGCGGCTACACGTCCTGACTTTGTTGTATGTGATGGCATGATCCTCAAACGTAGTTCCAGTGCGCTGCAGTATTTAGGAGTCCTAAGCTTGAAACCGACTAAGTACCGCAGCAGCTAACTGGAACTATGTCCGAGGATCTGCTAACTCCACATCAGCGGCTACACGTCCTGACTTTGGTGTAATGGCATGAGTTCACTCAGAATAAAAAAAACAGTTGAGTGATGACAGCTGCTACAAGTTCCTGACTTTGTGAGGACGTTCACCTGTGGGGGTGGTGACTTGAATCTCGGTGAAAGGGAGGTGGCCCAACCCATGCTCCACCAGCTGACGAGAGTGATGAGGGGAGGGGGGGTTGTGAGAATGGAAAGAAAGAAAGGAGCAACTAAAGGGGTGAGACAGGGGGGCAGCTCAATCAGTCCATGCTTGCCATCTTTAAAGGAGTGGGAATCGTGAGAAAGGAAAATGGGATGAATAACAAAAGGAAGTGTAAAAAAAAAAAATGGTTCTTGGGGATGCAGTTGTGGTTCTTGGGGGCATGGGTGAGAGCACGAGGTGGGTGTGCGGTGTGGTGTGGTGTGGTGTGGTGTGGTGTGGTGTGGTGTGGTGTGGTGTGGTGTGGTGTGGTGTGAGGGAATTACGAGGCGAATGAGGCGGTCGGCGTAAAAGACAAAGTTGTGCTTCTTGGTGTCCCGGATGGGAGCACAAGATGGGTGTGTGGTGCGGTGCGGTGCGGTGCGGTGTGGTGCGGTGCGGTGCGGTGAGGTGTGGTGTGGTGTGGTGCGGTGTGGTGTGGTGTGGCGTGGGTGAGTAGAAATAACCCAAGAGGGAACGTACGAGGCGAATGAGTCGGTCGGCGTAGAAGACAAAGTTGTGCTTCTTGGTGTCCCGGTTGCGAATGAGCGTGTGCATGCCCCTCACCTGATAGCCACAGAGAGACGGGGTTTGGGGGGGGGATAGTGGCAGAGGGAATGGGGCATGTAAAAGACAGAGTTGTGCTTCTTGGTGTCCCTGTTGCGAATGAGCGTGTGCATGCCACGCACCTGATTGCAATAGTGGGGGAGAAGAAGAGGAGAGGAAGTTAGGAAACAAAGGGAAGGAGAGCAGTGGTGATACGTGGATTAAGCAGATGCAAGGAGGCTAAGGAGTGTTGCTTTCTGGTATCCCTGTTGTGAATGAGTCTGCCGAAATTCAACGTGTGTGCACACACGTACACGTACACATACACATGCACACAGCCAAACCACACACCTGGAACGTTGACTCTATAACGTGTACGTTGCTGTAGATCTTCCGCAGATCATGCTGGCCCAGCTTGGACCCTATATGCTGCACTATCAGGTTCACTGCCACGTGGTTGTCACCGCACAAAGTGCACACCTCACCGCACTGCACCGCACCACAACACACCCCACCACAACACACCGCACCACACCGCACTAAACCACATCACGCACCTGGAACGTTGACTCTATAACGTGTACGTTGCTGTAGATCTTCCTCAGGTCATGCTGCCCCAGCTTGGACCCTATGTGCTGCACTATCAGGTTCACTGCCACGTGGTTGTCACCCCCTCTTGGAATGATGATGTCAGCAAATTTCTTGGATGGAAGGACGAAATCATCGAAGGCCGGCTTGACAAAACGAGCGTACTGGATTGGAGTAAGGGAAGGGGATGGAGGAAAGGAAGGGAAGAAAAAGGGAAGGGAAGGGAAGGAGCGGGATGGGACGGCAGGGAAATGATGATCTGTGTTCTGAATGTGCACTACGTGGTTGTCACCGCCCCTGAGAGTGAATGATGATGTCGGCGAATTTCTTCGAGGGAAGCATGAAAATCATCAAAGGCTCGCTTGACAAAGCGAGCGTACTGGGTGAAAGGCGGAGGGATGGATAGGGGTGAAAGGAAGGGGGAGGGATGGAAGCGTAGGGATGGATAGGGGTGAAAGGAAGGGGGAGGGATGGAAGCGTAGGGATGGGAAGGAAAGGGAAGGAGAGGGAAGGAACGGGAAAGAAAGGAAAACGGAAGGAATGGGAAAAAAGTGGAAGGACAGGGAAGAAAAAAGGAAGGCGGGATAGGATGGAGGGGAAACGGAGTGCAAGGGTATACAAAGCCTGGGTTAACAAAGCAAGCATGCTGGAATGCAGGGAATGGAAGCGGAAATCACACCTGATCAAGATCAACATCCCTCGTGATAATCACACGCACCTGGTCGATCACCCCTTGCACGTCGATCCGCAGGGACACGCTGGCTGGACCAAGGACTTGGAGGATCTCCCTGAGAACATGAGCGATCGGCTGCCGTGTCTGCGGGAGCTCAGCATCAGCGACTGCGGACGTTTCACGGAACAACCCGAGCAGGTCACCTCCTTGACCTGCCTGCGCAGCTGGACGCTCTCCAGCTGCACATTCGTCAGACTGCCTGATAGCCTCGGGGACATGCCCGACCTGAAAACGCTCCTCAAGCGTGAATGAGCAGACAATCCGACAAATGTGCAGCTGGAGAGCTTCAAGCTGCGCTGGCAGTTCAAGGGAGTGACCCGCTCGGGTTGTTCCGTGAAACGTTCGCATTCGCTGATGCTGAGCTCCCTCCCGCAGACACGGCAGCCAGTCCATGTTCTCAGGGAGATCCTCCAAGTCGTCACGCCAGTGTGTCGCTTCCGATCCTCCTGACCAATCGCACGCCGGCATCTGTCTGTGTGTCCGAATATGGTTGCGTGCGATTCTACCCATTCCTCCCACTGGTCAATCAGTGAACCACCCCTTGGTGGAATAATCTAGATCCTTCTATTACAATAAGACCTGGTGAACCACCCCTTGCTACAGCCACACACGATCAATCGGACCTCTTTATAGTAACACTTGAACTCGTTATAGTCACACCTGAACTCGTTATAGTCACACCTGATCTCGTATGGTCACACCTGATCTCATATAGTCACACCTGGTCTCGTTTTGATCACACCTGGTCAATCACCCCTTGCACGTCTCGCCCTCGCTCCAGCGTATCTCTGCGAATCCTCCTGGCCAATCGCACGTCGGCATCTGTATCCACAAAAACCTTCATGTTCATCAGCCCTCGCACCCTCGCCTCGTGGAACACCAGAATGCCTTCGAGAATGATGACATCCGCAGGGTTGGTCTGAAAGGGGGGAGAGGGGAGGAGGGGGTCAGCGGTTTGCAGCAGAATGGTTAAACACTTATGTGTGCATGAAAGCGCATCCCAGCATCTGTATCCACATGGATCTTCATGTTCATCAGCGCTCGCACCCTCGCCTCGTGGAACACCAGAATGCCTTGCAGGATGATGACGCCAGCAGGGTTAGTCTGATGTTTGTATGTGGAGAGGAAGGGGAGAGAGGAGGGATTGGAGAGGAGGAGAAGGAGGAGGGAAAAACCCGCCGTTAGGCAACCCGCCCTTAGGCAACCCACCTGATGACATCCCACTGATGACATCCCACCTGATGACATCCCACCTGATGACATCCCACCTGATGACATCCCACCTGATGACATCCCACCTGATGACATCCCACCTGATGACATCCCACCTGATGACATCCCACCTGATGACATCCCACCTGATGACATCCCACCCGGGTATGTAGTGAAAGAATACCGCCTGCACCACCACCACGCCTTCACCATTCTCTAAGATGCCTTCATCGCACTCACCTTCCACACGGCCGTGGACCGTTGGTGTGTCTTGAAGTCATACACTGGGATCTCCTCTCCACCGTGTATACTGCTGCGCCCTCGTTGCTCTCTTGAGGTCAATTGGCCCCCCTTGACAGCAACGAGGGTGCAGGAGTACACACACCACCACGCACACGCTCATTGCCACATATACTATCATATGTGCACCTTCCCTCCACACACCTTCCGCACGGCCGTGCTCCGTTGGTGTGTCTTGATGTCATACACTGGGATCTCCACCAATTGCCCCTCCTTGAGAGCAATGCGGGTGCATGCATGCAAGAGCACTGTCGGTTACCACACATCAACCCTCCTGAAACCCACCTTCCGCACGGCCGTGCTGCGTTGGTGTGTCTTAAAGTCATACACTGGGATCTCCACTGATTGCCCCTCCTTGAGAATGGTGGTGCATGTATGCAAGAATAATGTCATCCACCACCACGCACCAACCTTCCTTCCACCCATTCACCTTCCTCACAGCTGTCGACCGTTGGTGTGTCCTGAAGTCATACACTGGGATCTCCACCGACCGCCCCTCCTTGAGAATACCAAGGGAGGGTGAATGCATGGGAGAATACTGTCATATACCACACATCCACCTTCCTCACACACTCACCTTCCTTCCACTCACCTTCCTCACAGCCGTGCTCCGTTGGTGTGTCTTGAAGTCATACACTGGGATCTCCACTGATTGCCCCTCCTTGAGAGCAATGACGGTATGAGTATGCTCTATGTGTGCACGCATTCACCTCTCTCACACCCACCTTCCTCACGGCCGTGCTCCGCTGGTGTGTCTTGAAATCATACACTGGGATCTCCACTGATTGCCCCCCCTTGAGAATGGTGGTGCATGTATGCAAGAATAATGTCATCCACCACCACGCACCAACCTTCCTTCCACCCATTCACCTTCCTCACAGCTGTCGACCGTTGGTGTGTCTTGAAGTCATACACTGGGATCTCCACCGACCGCCCCTCCTTGAGAATACCAAGGGAGGGTGAATGCATGGGAGAATACTGTCATATACCACACATCCACCTTCCTCACACACTCACCTTCCTTCCACTCACCTTCCTCACGGCCGTGCTCCGTTGGTGTGTCTTGAAGTCATACACTGGGATCTCCACTGATTGCCCCTCCTTTAGAGAAACGATGGTTGAAAGCAGAGCGTCCGTGTCAAAAGCGTCTGACAAGGTAAGGGGAGAGGGGGGGGAGGGGAGGGATCAGGAAGGGGACAGACAGACATGGGGTGGGGATTTCCACCGACCGACCCTCCTTAAGAGCAACAATGGTTGAAACTTGAAAGCAGTGGATCCGTGTCAAAGGCGTCTGAGGAGGGAAGGGGAGGGGAGGGAGGGGGAAGGAGTCAGGGGGGGTTGAGAGGGGTCAGGAGGAGTTGGAGGCGGGGGCAGAGGAAGGCGTATAGCACTGCAGGTATCCATCCATCCACCTGTCCTCCTTGAGAGCAATGAGGATGGGACAAAACGTGTTCGTATCAAATGCATCTGAGTGGGAGAAGGTGGGGGGGAGATGGCAGGAAGGGAGGACAGGGGAAGGAAGCGGGGGGGGCACAATGGCAGGGCAGGGCAGCTTGCACGATTATTCATCATTCCACTGATAGGGCCGCCGGCCCTCCTTGAAAGCAACGGGGGTGGAAAGGAGAGTAAAGAATGTTCACCAGGAAACTGGTAGTGATGGTTGTGAGGCGTTTTTCAATTGGCGGTTACCAGGACGGTTGAATTTTAATTCGAAGTTGAATTGTCATACCAGGACAATCGCTGGTATGATTGAGCTCCTCCTCTGTCAACTTGCAACGGTAACCGCTCTGCTAGCACCAAGTATGCAGTGGTAATCCAATGCAAACCCAACTGAGTTGATCAACATGGTATGGTGACGAGCAAAACCATGATGATCACCATGGCTCACCATGGCACTTACCAGGATGATCAAAATTAAAATCAGTGGCGTGTTTCAGCTCCTCCTCTGTCAACCCTCGGTAGAAGGAGTCCTGCCAGCAAGCAAGCACGCAAGCAAGCAAGCAAGCAAGCAAGCAAGCAAGCAAGCAAGCAAGCAAGCAAGCAAGCAAGCAAGCAAGCAAGCAAGCAAGCAAGCAAGCAAGCAAGCAAGCAAGCAAGCAAGCAAGCAAGCAAGCAAGCAAGCAAGCAAGCAAGCAAGCAAGCAAGCAAGCAAGCAAGCACAGAAGGAAGCAAGTGAGAACACGCGGAGTTACCAGCTTAGCGCACCAAAATCACTCCTCCTCTGCCAATCCTCGGTAGTAGAAGGAATCCTGTCTGTCACCAAGCAAGCACGGAAGCACGCGTGCAAGCAGAAAGTAAGTTTGGGTGAGCAGGCTTGTTGCCTCAGATGCTGTACATGTACGCTTCTTACGCGCCTCAAACCTCCTCACTGGCATGCTTAGGTTTAGCTCCTCCTCTGTCAACCCTCGGTAGAAAGAGCTCTGTCAGTGCGTACGAGGTTTCGGGTTCAGGGTTCGAATTATATTGTCGAATGTACGGCATGGCTTCAAGCACATGCATGCCATGTTGACTATTGAGTCGACTCAAAAGTCAACATGAGGTTTGGGGTTCAGGGTTCGAATGATATTGTCGAATCTACGGCATGGCTTTGAGCACAGCACATGCATGCCGTGGCGAGGCATGGAATGGGTTGCACTACACTGCACTCCTCCATCTCACAACCCACCCACACCATACATCACATGCTGCACCGCTTAGTTTGCACCGCACTGCACCACCTCTCATCTGATGCAGCAGCACCACCCAGTGGTTGCGTAGCTGCTCAATGAATGACTGCTGACTTGGCTCAACCACCACAGCCCACCTCCTCTCTTCCCCAATTCACCGCACCGCACCGCACTGCACTGCATCTCACCTGGTGCACCAGCACCACCCGGTGGTCGTGCAGTTGTTGAATGATCTGCTCACACACTGTTGTCTTGCCTGAGGCCGTCCCTCCTGACACGCCTGGAGTAAGAGGAGCGAAGGAGTGGGAGGCGGAACGAGGGTGGGGAGGAGGAGAGGCGGGGCAGGGGGGCGAGGTGTGGTTGGGTGGGGCTGTACGTACAAAATAAGTTCACCCACCAATGTGGAGCGGTCGAGAGAGAAGGACGTGGAGCAATGTCGGGAGGAGAGGGGGAGGGGTCATGGGGAAGTAAACCCACCAATGAGGAAGGGCTCCTTGCCGTGAGCACCAATCAGAGAGGTCAGTGACGAGCGGTCGAGAGAGAAGGACGCTGAGTTATGTATGGAGGGGTGAGAGGAGGAGGAAGAGGCGGTGGGACGGATGGCGGGGGAGTTGGAGAGAGAGGGGGAGAGGGAGGAGGGGGAGGAAGAGGAGGAGGGGCGGGCGGAGGGCGGGATGGGGGGCGCAGCAGCGGCGGCGGCAGCAGGGGGATGGCTGTCGATGGAAGGGTGGAGACCTGAGATGTGCACTTGAGAGCTGGTCTGGAAGGAGAGAGGGAGGGGAGTACACACATGCGAAAGGGGTCGCCGTGAATGGAGGGGTGGAGGCCTGAGATGTGCACCTGAGAACTGGTCTGGAGGTGAAAAGGAGAGAATTCGGGTGTGGGGAATTTGAAAAATACACTTGGGAGATGGTATGGAGGGAGAGAGGACAGAAAAGAGCAGTGGCTTGGTTCCGACAAAAAAATCAGAGGGTGTAATTCGGGTGAGAAGAAAGAAGAGGCAGCAGGTTGTGTCTGTCAGTGGAAAACTGGAGTGGAGGCCTGTGAGTTGCACCTGGGCGCTGATATTGAGAGGGAGAGGGGAGGACACACATGCACACGCGATTCATCTCCCAGGCACACGAAGCAGCCAAGAATGTGCACGGATGTGGAGCTGCATAATAAACCCTGAGCTGTTCTGCACATTGGCACAGAACCAGCGTGCAGAACAGCGAAGTGAACCAGCAGCGCGCCGAGCCAGCGTGCGTATGAATCAGCGCTACAGAATCAGCAGCGCGCCGAGCCAATTACCTCGAGGGTTTTCTCGAGATCCTCCAAAGCGTTGGCCATGCTGCACCGAACTGTACCGGACTGCACCGGACTGCACTGGGAGTGGTTTCCCGCAAACGAAATTCTGGCTAATGCTGCCTCCTGGTTCGACTGAAAAAGTCACCTTAAGAAACTTTTCGTTAAATCAGCTGCCTGATGCTGCTGTTTGCTGGTTCCCTAGCCTAAGTGATGCTCAGGCGGCTAATCCTCCTGTTCACACACTCTATCCTACATCAGTCATGAGAGAAACTACTGTGCAGAAAAGTGCTAATTCTCCTCGTCAGACGTCCATCGTCCTATACTCGATCGCGGGTACGTCGAGAGATACTAATCAGGCACGACAATCCCAGGGATGTTGGATTATATATGTCGGATTATATATGTCGGATTATATATGTCGGATTATCTATGAAGCACGAGTACACGCCGACAGCCGAATGACACTAAACGGCATATCACGCAACCAGTACAATCAAGACGGACGACTGGTAAGTAGCCTTGCGAGCTGACGACTGGTAGTCGTGCGAGTTAAGGACGAGTACCAAGACGCGCTTCGGATCAGCTCTATGTCAACAATGCAGAGGGTAGCCGCGATGTAGAGCGTCAAATTGTCGTAAGCGACTTCCCAGTTACAAGTAACGACGAAGCCTGCGACAAACCGCGATTAACTCGACCAAATGGTTAGAGCATCGCCACCTAATCGGCCTTTGAACGGCGTGGCCGGCGGTTCTGACGGGTCGGGACTAAAGCAGTGAATTCAGGTTGTAGTTCCTTCATTGCGGTTTAATTAGAGGTTCCGCGTGGTTGAGCGCGGTTGGCTTATCAAGAAACCAGAACGGTTGGGTAGGGTTCTTCGAGTTACTGTACGATCTTCGAACGAAGCGAGATGTGTGCTTCAACCAGGGCGAATTTCGCGCAGTTTCGCCTTCAACCCCAGGAGCGAAAGTTCCAGTAACCCAAGTCTTGGCCCAGTTCGGTAGGCATTATGACCAATTCGGCCACACCCTATTTTCGGAATTGTGTGGCGATTTAAAACCAGGGTGCACATTCATAATGGGTGTACTCCCATCGGAAAGAAATTGGTGTTCGGCGAAAAAAGTTTGGCAGGAACGAAAATACACTAGGAAGAATGGATGTGGCGAGAAATACGAAAGTGGGCGAATTGTGGCTCACTGAATTAAATCTGCGCCTGCCTGCAGCTAGGGGCTGCGGAACGACCTTCCATTTCCGCCACCCTCCCAGACACCACAGTGATGAGTGAAGAAAACGTCTCGCACTGTCTCGCCACACCAACCAACCGCCAATACACATCAGGAACCAGGCGCCGGAGAATGTGAATAGGCAAGCAACGCGCATTTCTTCTAATGACGCGAAGGGATTATGTTTAGGGTTATAAGAGATAGGGTTAGGCGAAATGTGTGGAATCGCAGCGAGTGTGTTTAGATATATAGAACCATCGTGGCAGGACACCAATGGGGAGGGAACCGGGCAGCACAACAAGGATTTCGTCAGTGGAGAGCCCCCCAAATGACATATGATTATGGGGCGTGGAGGTGCGGAGGCGGCATGTTGCATTATCGCCATAGAACAGCGCGAAAAGTAGGGTAGAAAGGCATAAAACTCGCAAACCGAAGAATAGGGTAACGGTAGGAAGGCGACGCGTGACTCATCGCCCGCACCCGCACCGTGACTACTGTCCACGCGACAAGAAGACATTCGCGCGGTCGACTTTGAAAAATAAAAAGGTGGCCATCTATGTAACCATTTCCACACGCAGCCCTTACTTGCATTCTCCACGCCCCTCACTCTCATTGTATTACCCAACACCGGCACTTACTTTCCCCCACCCAGCTATTCAGTTTCCCCCATGCAGCTGTTTACTACCCCCCAGCAGGCTATTTACTTCCCTCCATCCAGCTACCTACTTCCCCCCATCCAGCGTCTACCATCCCCCCACCCAGCTATGACCTTCCCCCCCATCCTGCTAATTACTTCTCCCCACCCAGCTTCTAACATCCCCCCATCCAACTACTAACTTTCCCCCCCAAGTAGCTACTTACTTCCCTTTCCCCCACCGCGCTACCTTCTTTCCCGGTCATTGGGCTACTTACCTCCCCCCACACAGCTACTCACTTCCCCCACCCAGCTACTTACTTCCCCCCACACAGCTACTCACTTCCCCCCACCCAGCTACTCACTTCCCCCCACACAGCTACTCACTTCCCCCCACACAGCTACTCACTTCCCCCCACACAGCTACTCACTTCCCCCCACACAGCTACTCACTTCCCCTCACCCAGCTACTCACTTCCCCCCACCCAGCTACTTACTTCCCCCCACCTAGCTACTCACTTCCCCCCACACAGCTACTCACTTCCCCCCACACAGCTACTCACTTCCCCCCACCCAGCTACTCACTTCCCCCCACACAGCTACTCACTTCCCCCCACCCAGCTACCCACTTCCCCCCACCCAGCTACTTACTTCCCCCCACCTAGCTACTCACTTCCCCCCACACAGCTACTCACTTCCCCCCACACAGCTACTCACTTCCCCCCACCCAGCTACTCACTTCCCCCCACCCAGCTACTCACTTCCCCCCACCCAGCTACTTACTTCCCCCCACCTAGCTACTCACTTCCCCCCACCCAGCTACTCACTTCCCCCCACCCAGCTACTTACTTCCCCCCACCTAGCTACTCACTTCCCCCCACACAGCTACTCACTTCCCCCCACACAGCTACTCACTTCCCCCCACCCAGCTACTCACTTCCCCCCACCCAGCTACTCACTTCCCCCCACACAGCTACTCACTTCCCCCCACACAGCTACTCACTTCCCCCCACCCAGCTACTCACTTCCCCCCACACAGCTACTCACTTCCCCCCACCCAGCTACTCACTTCCCCCCACACAGCTACTCACTTCCCCCCACCCAGCTACTCACTTCCCCCCACACAGCTACTCACTTCCCCCCACACAGCTACTCACTTCCCCCCACCCAGCTACTCACTTCCCCCCACCCAGCTACTCACTTCCCCCCACCCAGCTACTCACTTCCCCCCACACAGCTACTCACTTCCCCCCACCCAGCTACTCACTTCCCCCCACCCAGCTACTCACTTCCCCCCACACAGCTACTCACTTCCCCCCACACAGCTACTCACTTCCCCCCACCCAGCTACTCACTTCCCCCCACACAGCTACTCACTTCCCCCCACACAGCTACTCACTTCCCCCCACACAGCTACTCACTTCCCCCCACCCAGCTACTCACTTCCCCCCACCCAGCTACTTACTTCCCCCCACCCAGCTACTCACTTGCCCCCACACAGCTACTCACTTCCCCCCACACAGCTACTCACTTCCCCCCACCCAGCTACTCACTTCCCCCCACCCAGCTACTCACTTCCCCCCACCCAGCTACTTTCCCCCCACCTAGCTACTCACTTCCCCCCACCCAGCTACTCACTTCCCCCCACCCAGCTACTTACTTCCCCCCACCTAGCTACTCACTTCCCCCCACACAGCTACTCACTTCCCCCCACACAGCTACTCACTTCCCCCCACACAGCTACTCACTTCCCCCCACCCAGCTAATCACTTCCCCCCACCCAGCTACTCACTTCCCCCCACACAGCTACTCACTTCCCCCCACACAGCTACTCACTTCCCCCCACCCAGCTACTCACTTCCCCCCACACAGCTACTCACTTCCCCCCACACAGCTACTCACTTCCCCCCACCCAGCTACTCACTTCCCCCCACCCAGCTACTCACTTCCCCCCACACAGCTACTCACTTCCCCCCACCCAGCTACTCACTTCCCCCCACACAGCTACTCACTTCCCCCCACCCAGCTACTCACTTCCCCCCACACAGCTACTCACTTCCCCCCACCCAGCTACTCACTTCCCCCCACCCAGCTACTCACTTCCCCCCACACAGCTACTCACTTCCCCCCACCCAGCTACTCACTTCCCCCCACACAGCTACTCACTTCCCCCCACACAGCTACTCACTTCCCCCCACACAGCTACTCACTTCCCCCCACACAGCTACTCACTTCCCCCCACACAGCTACTCACTTCCCCCCACACAGCTACTCACTTCCCCCCACCCAGCTACTCACTTCCCCCCACCCAGCTACTCACTTCCCCCCACACAGCTACTCACTTCCCCCCACACAGCTACTCACTTCCCCCCACACAGCTACTCACTTCCCCCCACACAGCTACTCACTTCCCCCCACCCAGCTACTCACTTCCCCCCACCCAGCTACTCACTTCCCCCCACCCAGCTACTCACTTCCCCCCACCCAGCTACTCACTTCCCCCCACACAGCTACTCACTTCCCCCCACACAGCTACTCACTTCCCCCCACCCAGCTACTCACTTCCCCCCACACAGCTACTCACTTCCCCCCACACAGCTACTCACTTCCCCCCACACAGCTACTCACTTCCCCCCACACAGCTACTCACTTCCCCCCACCCAGCTACTTACTTCCCCCCACCCAGCTACTCACTTCCCCCCACCCAGCTACTCACTTCCCCCCACACAGCTACTCACTTCCCCCCACACAGCTACTCACTTCCCCCCACCCAGCTACTCACTTCCCCCCACACAGCTACTCACTTCCCCCCACACAGCTACTCACTTCCCCCCACACAGCTACTCACTTCCCCCCACACAGCTACTCACTTCCCCCCACACAGCTACTCACTTCCCCCCACCCAGCTACTCACTTCCCCCCACCCAGCTACTTACTTCCCCCCACCCAGCTACTCACTTCCCCCCACACAGCTACTCACTTCCCCCCACACAGCTACTCACTTCCCCCCACCCAGCTACTCACTTCCCCCCACCCAGCTACTCACTTCCCCCCACACAGCTACTCACTTCCCCCCACCCAGCTACTCACTTCCCCCCACCCAGCTACTCACTTCCCCCCACACAGCTACTCACTTCCCCCCACACAGCTACTCACTTCCCCCCACCCAGCTACTCACTTCCCCCCAC